CTGATTGATCGGAAATGCCTTAACTTTGGTGTTTGTAAAGTTGGGAAGTTGGGATTTTCTATCGGTTTTATATTTGGCCAATCAATTCGACCTACCAAATTTCATAAGGATCGGCCGACTATATCCTATAGCTGCCATATAACTGATTGATCGGAAATGCCATAACTTTGGTGTTTGTTAAGTTAGGAAGTTGGGATTTTCTATGGGTTTTATTTTTGGCCAATCAATCCGACCTACCAAAGTTCATAAGGATCGGCCGACTTTATCTTATAGCTGCCATATAACTGAACGATTGGAAATGCTATAACTTTGGTGTTTTTATAGTTACTAAGTTGGGATTTTTTATGAGTATTAAGAATGCATCATATGAATAATTTTGGAGAATATAATTTACAGACTATTCTGCAAGGGTATATCAACTTCGGCTCCGCCCGAAGTTAGCTTTCCTTTCTTGTTTTACCTCAAGTTCTGTTAAACCGATTTTGAAAGCATACTTTTCTAGTAGTAGATTATTTTTCAACCTTCTTATTCGGCACGCTACATGCCTTTGTAGTTTGAACATTTTGTTCAAATATTTGTAGGCTAATGAAGATAATTTAAAAAAAAAAGTATTTATTTAGTCATATACTTAATCCTTTTTCGTCTCAAATTTTGAAACAGAAATTTGTTGCATCGTTACGATAGAAGAATACATTGAAAAATTGTGACACATACATTTTCGTTTCATTATCATTATACCCTTGCAGAGGGTATTATAATTTCAGTCAAAAGTTTGCAACGCAGTGAAGGAGACATTTCCGGCCCTATAAAGTGTATATATTCTTGATCAGCATCACCAGGAGAGCCGATCTAGCCATGTCCGTCTGTCCGTCCGTCCGTATAGTACTGTATTCGTGAAAAGTATAACAGCTAGAAACTAGGTTTCCCCCATAAGTTTTTATAAGGCTCACTGCTGGTCGATATAGCCTTGTCCTCCAAAAGTCTGTCTTTCGTTTGTCCGTCCGTATGAACGCTGAGATCTTGGAAACTATAAAAGCTAGAAGATTAGCATTTTGCATGCAGATTCTAGGAGTTCGGCAAGTTTGTTTCAAAAAGTGCCACGCCCCTTTAACGCCCACAATCGCTTATATACGATTTTAAAATTTAAATATTTGAAAGTTGGTTTTATTGTGTTTATCAATACCTATCGAAATGTAGAAAAATTTTTCAAATCGGACCATTCGTTAAAAAGTTGTGATCAAACTTTCTATCTCCATCTCCCTCGCACTCCCTTTACCTGAGTAACGGGTATCTGATAGTCGGGGCACCCGACTATAGCGTTCTCTCTTGTTTTTATTTAATTTTCGTTCTTATTATAATTTTAACACCACTAACAAAAGACATTCCGTGTTGGCACAAGATGGGAACTCTATAGAAAGGGGGCTATGCTATCGTCGAAAAACGGTCAAAAGTACTACAATATTGTCAAAAAAAGCTAAAAAAATCGGTCTTACTGAACAGCAAATTACAACAATAGCTGCGATACAACTAAACTTTATACCGTAGATAAGAAACTGGCCCTGTAAGATCTGGTAGCGAATAAATCCGGGTCTGTTTCAAAATGTTTCAAAAAATATTGACATCAGCAAATTTTAAAAGGTGAAAATAAATGTGTCTATCGACCTGATCCTCCGTCTGGTATACTAAAGCGCTCCTTCCGACAAAGAGCAAAAGGACAGAAGTCAGCCTTTTTCCCCTCTTCACTCGCTACTATTTGCAGCGGAAGTTATAAAACAACAGAAACGTAAATTTGTATTAATTCAGTGCTATCTTATTCGCCGAAAATTATGCATCACCAACTGGTTGGGATGGTTATATTATGTAATGTAAAAGAAGAAAAATAAACACAATATTATTAAATTTTTTTTTCTTTTTTAATTTATACTTGGCAGGTATAATCGACCAAAATATAAGTAACAAGAAAAAACGCTATAGTCGAGTGCCTCGACTATTAGATACCCGTTACTCTGCTAAACAACTGTTTACAATGTAAATACATACATATGTATATGCTTACATACATACACACATACGCCATTGTTTGACTCAGACCTCCAAATTGGCTGACTTGATTTGATTTGCATAGTTCTTGGGATATAATTCGGTATTGACAAATGAAAACCATCCCAATTTCCTTTAATAGAAATCCTTATCGAGAATTAACGTTGACTCTGTTGAGCACCTTGGCCAGCTGTTCCAAAGTCATCCGTTAGATGGCGCCATGAAAGGCGGAAATGTAGGCGCTAGCCAGGCTTAAGCGCTTAATGGGTTTTTGGGCGGTAGAGTGGGCGTGGCAAACTTTTATTAGGCCAATCGATAGGTATTGACGAAACAAATACATATCAATTAAAATTTTCATAAAAGCACCAAAACTGTGGCCACAGCTTGTGGCTTGTGGGCGTCAGAAGGGGCGTGGCACCATTTTGAAACAAACTTGCGCTGCGTAGGAACTCCTAAAATCTACATGCCAAATGCCAATCTTCTAGCTTTTATAGTTTCCGAGATCTCAGCGTTCATACGGACAGACAGACAGACGGACATGGCTAGATCGACTCGGCTAGTGATCCTGAACAGGAATATATATACTTTATAGGGTCGGAAACGCTTTCTTTTACCTGTTACATACTTTTGCACGAATACAATATACCCTTTCACTCTACGAGTAACGGGTATAAAAATCATTTAAAACAAGAAAGGAAAGCTAACTTCGGGCGGAGCCGAAGTTGAAATACCCTTGCAGAACATTCTGTAAATTATATTCTCCAAAATTATTCATATGATGCATTCTTAACACTCATAAAAATCCCAACTTCCTAACTTTAAAAACACCAAAGTTATGTCATTTCCAATCGTTCAGTTATATGGCAGCTATAGAATATAGTCGGCCGATCCTTACGAAATTTGGTAGGTCAGATTGATTGGCCAAAAATAAAACCCATAGAAAATCCCAACTTCCTAACCTTACAAACACCAGAGTTGTGGAATTTCCGATCAATCAGTTATATGGCAGCTTTAGGATATAGTCGGCCGATCCCGGCCGTTCCGACTTATATACTGCGTGCAAAGGAAAGAAGGGCGTGTGCAAAGTTTGAATTCGATATCTTTAAAACTGGGAATCTAGTTCGCGTAGAAACAGACAGACGGACAGACGGACATGCTTATATCAACTCAGGAGGTGATCCTGATCAAGAATATATATACTTTATGGATTCGGAGATGTCTCCTTCACTGCGTTGCACCAAAATTATAAAGCCCTCTGCAAGGGTATAAAAAGAAAGTTTTAAACATTTTAACCGATTGTTGAAATATATAGGATTTACTTGTTAATTTTGGAACGAAGTTTCTTATGGCGCGGTATGAGTTTGACGGAGGATAGCTAGCCGACAAAAACCGTCACGTAACGTTAAACGAGGACGCAGTCACATGTGCAATTTACTTCAACAAATTGGTAAGCCAAAGTTGATATACCCTTGCAGAATACTCTGTAAATTATATTCTCCAAAATTATTCATATGATGCATTCTTAATACTCATAAAAAATCCCAACTTCCTAACTTTAAAAACACCAAAGTTATTGCATTTCCAATCGTTCAGTTATATGGCAGCTATAAGATAAAGTCGGCCGATCCTTATGAACTTTGGTAGGTCGGATTGATTGGCCAAAAATAAAACCCATAGAAAATCCCAACTTCCTAACATTACAAACACCATAATTATGGAATTTCCGAACAATCAGTTATGGGGGGCTATAGGATATAGTCGGCCGATCCTTATGAAATTTGGTAGGTCGGATTGATTGGCCAAATATAAAACCCATAGAAAATTCCAACTTCCTAACTTTACAAACACCAAAGTTATGGCATTTCCGATCAATCAGTTATATGGCAGCTATAAGATATAGTCGGCCGATCCTTATGAAATTTGGTAGGTCGGATTGATTGGCCAAATATAAAACCCATAGAAAATTCCAACTTCCTAACTTTACAAACACCAAAGTTATGGCATTTCCGATCAATCAGTTATATGGCAGCTATAAGATATAGTCGGCCGATCCTTATGAAATTTGGTAGGTCGGATTGATTGGCCAAATATAAAACCCATAGAAAATTCCAACTTCCTTACTTTACAAACACCAAAGTTATGGCATTTCCGATCAATCAGTTATATGGCAGCTATAGGATATAGTCGGCCGATCCCGGCCGTTCTGACATATATACTGCGTGCAAAGGAAAGAAGGGTGTGTGCAAAGTTTGAACTCGATAGCTTTAAAACTGAGAGACTAGTTTGCGTAGAAACAGACAGACGGACAGACGGACATGCTTATATCAACTCAGGAGGTGATCCTGATCAAGAATATATATATAATTTATAGGGTCGGAGATGTCTCCTTCACTGCGTTGCACACTTTTGACCAAAATTAGAATACCCTCTGCAAGGGTATAATTAAGAAGCTTTGCACACATCCTTCTTTCCTTTGCACGCAGTATATAAATCGGAACGGCCGGGATCGGCCGACTATATCCTATAGCTGCCATATAACTAATTGATCGGAAATGCCATAACTTTGGTGTTAGATATTTATATTTGGCCAATCAATCCGACCTACCAAATTTCATAAGGATCGGCCGACTATATCTTTTAGCTGCCATATAACTAAACGATTTGAAATGCCATAACTTTGGTGTTTTTAAAGTTAGGAAGTTGGGATTTTTTATGAGTGTTAAGAACGCGTCATATGAATAATTTTGGGGAATATAATTTAAAGAATATTCTGAAAGGGTATTTTAACTTCGGCTCCGCCCGAAGTTAGCTTTCCTTTCTTGTTTTGGTTTGTATTTAGACTAGTTCAGACTAGTAATTCCAATGGGATTTAAACAAATTGTAAATTACCAATCCCCAAAAATGTAGCATCACAGAGAAATTTATAAAAAAAATAAAACATTATGCATATTTTTTTTTAGATTTGTGACTTTGGGTTGGCTCGAATTGCAGATCCCGAACATGACCATACTGGATTTCTGACAGAATATGTTGCTACTCGGTGGTATAGGGCACCCGAAATTATGCTGAACTCAAAGGGATACACAAAATCTATTGATATCTGGTCTGTTGGCTGCATTTTGGCTGAAATGCTAAGTAATCGACCAATATTTCCTGGAAAACATTATTTGGATCAACTTAACCATATTCTCGGCGTATTGGGATCACCATCTCGTGAAGACTTAGAGTGTATTATAAACGAAAAGGTAAGTAACTATATTTTTATTTATATTTGTTAATGATTCGTTGGGTTTTAGGCACGGAACTATTTGGAGTCTTTACCCTTCAAGCCCAATGTACCCTGGTCGAGGCTTTTTCCGAATGCCGATCCGTTGGCCTTAGATCTTCTTGGAAAAATGTTAACCTTTAATCCGCATAAACGGATTCCTGTGGAGGAAGCTCTTGCACATCCCTATTTGGAGCAGTATTATGATCCTGGAGATGAGGTATCGCGCATAAATTACTATTGAGTTTAAGGGGACCCCCCATTCTCGATTTCAAATTTTGACAATTTTCAATGGGCTGGTAAATGTACATATGTATATTATTTTTTGGGCTTGTAACTTTGCATCCATTTAGTTAAAGTCTTAAAAACTAAGAAAAAAATTTAACATAATTTTTTTTTCTTTTTTTTTGTTATTGAACAAAAGCCCTTCTTATCGTCAGCGTATGGGATTTAAGCTCACTGGAACATCTGAAACCAAACACTCCAACGAAATTAGGAAGAGTATATGTATGGCTATAGCATGAACTAAGATTGTTAAATTCGGACAAAAATTAACAAAATGGAGGACCTTTGAACATTTTTTTTTGAAAATCGCCTTTTCAGCCACAAATCAAGGTAGAAAGTAAAGAAGATCTTTACCGATTTGATTTATCCTAGTTCATGCTATAGCTACATATATATGCAACGAAAAACGTATATAAATTTGAAACCGATTGTAAAAATACTGTTTCGAGAAAAACGCGTTTAATGTTTTGAGAAGCTCTCGCCGTCGCCTGACGCTTCCACCATAAATCGACTATATCTTCAAAGTTTCTGAAATGTTCACTTTAAATTTTGAAGGAACATTCTTGAATAGTTATAGGTTCGAATTAAATAAAAAAAAATTGATTTTTTGAAACCGAGAAAGGGGGGGTCCATTTAAAAAAACTTTGCTTGCATTATTGTCCATGCAGATCAAATTAAGTTGATTCGTTGTTTTGTTTAAGCTTTTAATTTGCTATACACATATTTATTGAACAATCGTGTAATAATCTTGCTGTGGCTGGGGTATTTAGTTAGTTTAACCAGAATCATCTGTAATTTGTAGAAATGAGAGGACTGGGAGTAACCGGCTGACCTTTACGGGTCCTTACACCCTCCTTTTATTTAGAGTTTGCGTAGCGAGAAGGCCAAGAGGCGTAGCGATCTAATCGTGGGGACTCCGGATTTAAATTCGGTGGAGGGACGCGGACAGATGAGTTCAGTTCCACGGAGGTACCCGTTTCTGGTGTCTTAGTGGTTATCAATGGGCTTGTGTCCTGATTCACAAGTACTTCGGTTACGTATTTACAAATACAATTTTTAAAGTTCTACAATTATCTGTTTTAATAGTTGGGAGGCTAATAATATAAATGAGGTCGTTGCCAATTGTGGCTAATTTAACTTAAGCAAATTCCAATAATTCCTCTATGTTAAAAATTAAGTCGTTTTCTTTTTTAAAGATATCTTCCACCACTGTGGTTTCTGTGCTTGTGAATACAAAAGAGTTTATTGTGTTAGATTTGGCCCATGTAATTGCGTATATTATGTTGGTTATTTCTTCTTTTATTAATTGAATTTTATACTTTCAAATATTTGCTTTCTGATTTACGATTTGTTTCAAGATCTGGGTAAATTTTAATATTGCATTAGTTGCATTAGTAAGTTGGTTAAGTTTTTGATTAATTAATCTATTAATTACTACTTGTTTATTGTTGTTTTCTAATTGCTCATTTATCTTATTTTCTAAGATTTCGTAGTCGTGGTGGTCTGGTAATCCCGCCAGCCATTTCCATGCAGTACCTATTGCTTCTATTGCCTTTTTTGTCTTTTTTGTGTTTGAAGAATGCGTAAATCAGTATCTGTTTTATTTTATTATTTTTATACCCTTGCAGAGGGTATTATAATTTTGGTCAAAAGTGTGCAACGCAGTGAAGGAGGCATCTCCGACTTTATAAAGTATATATATTCTTGATCAGGATCACCTCCTGAGTTAATATAGCCATGTCCGTCTGTCCGTCTGTCTGTCCGTCTGTCTGTCTGTTTCTACGCAAACTAGTCTCTCAGTTTTAAAGCTATCGAATTGAAACTTTGCACACACCCTTCTTTCCTTTGCACGCAGTATATAAGTCGGAACGGCCGGGATCGGCCGACTATATCCTATAGCTGCCATATAACTGATTGATCGGAAATGCCATAACTTTGGTGTTTGTAAAGTTAGAAAGTTGTGATTTTCTACAGGTTTTATATTTGGCCAATCAATCCGACCTACCAAATTTCATAAGGATCGGCCGACTATATCCTATAGCTGCCATATAACTGAACGATTGGAAATGCCATAACTTTGGTGTTTTTAAAGTTAGGAAGTTTGGATTTTTTATGAGTATTAAGAATGCATCATAGGAATAATTTTGGAGAATTTAATTATAGAGTATTCTGCAAGGGTATATCAACTTCGGCTCCGCCCGAAGTTAGCTTTCCTTTCTTGTTATGTATGATTTTTCCGGTTTGTGTTTTAATAGTGGTCATTTTATTTTCTGCTACTTTCGCAGCTTTGTATCTAGTGTAAGTTTAGTTCCTAATCTTCTGTCTATTTTTACGTGGACTACATCGCCATGTTTAAAAAGTTTTGGTTGTATTTTGCCTTGATTGTTGTATTCGAGGTCGGCCGTTTGTTTCTTCTGGATTTTCTGTTTAATTTCTTTTCGTTTTTTTTCTATGTCTTCTGCTGAACTGGAGATTGTGCTTCAAAAAAATATGTTTATGGGGCTTTCTTTTGTTACACAATGGATCGATTTATTATATTCCTGAACTGCTTTAAAAATTAGGTCCTCCAATGTCATGCTCCCGTTGTCTTTTTTGAGGCACCGCATGATTTCTGATAGGGTTTTTTTTTACTAAAGCTTGGTTTTGTTTATTGGATCTTCTATTTATGAGTCTAACAATAAGGTTGCAAATCTTAAAATAATACATTATCTAACAGTTTATTTTTAACTGAATAGAGACTACATGGTCCTAATAATTAGCGCTAGATTGGAAGGTCGTTGCGGCGAAGACGAAAACTGCTGGAAAATCGCGTGAGGGCTCTCGCGAGATGATTTGAATGTACTGATAGCCTGTTGTAGTACTTTGTTGTGATTTGTGTTATCTCTTCTCTGACGAGTGATATGTGAATGTACCTGTGAATGTTTACATTCCGAACGTACCACGGTGCCCCGGTGATGGTTCTGAGAATTATTGATTGAGTTTTTTGCATTATATCCACACTGCTGTTACTAGCATTCCCCCACAACTGAGAGCCGTACATCCAGATTGGTTTCAAAACGGTGTTGTATAGAAGTACCTTATAGTCCAGGCTAAGGGGCGAGCGGCTATTGATAAGCCAGTGGAGGCTGTTGGCTTTGAGCTTTAAATGTGTTCTTTTGGCTTCAATGTGGCTGCGCCAAGTAAGACGTCTATCGAGGTGTACGCCAAGATATTTTACTTCATTTGCTATCGAAACCACTGTGATGTTTAGAGTAAGTGGAGGGCAGTCTTGCCTGTTAAGTGTGAACGTTACGTGTTTGCATTTTTGTTCGTTAACTTTGATTCGGCAGTCGGATAGCCATTTCTCCACTGCCACCAGGTGTTTAGCAAGTTGCGCCGTTGCTTGCTTGTGGCATCATCTAGCAGCCTTAGGATCGTCTGTGTCAACAAGACGTGATGTGGTGTAGTTTGTTGCATGCTCGTTGGTATGTATTTCGGCAGTATAGATAAGGTAGAAGTGTTGGTCCAAGAACGCTGCCTTGAGGAACGCCGGCTACTGATGATGTAATCATCGGACATGGTAGACTTTACATCATACTAAGAATTTCCTGTTGTAAAGGTATGACTTCAGAAGTTTGTGAGTGTTGGTTGGGAGCATTTCTGTTATTTTGTGCATTAAACCTTCTAACCATACTCTGTCGAAAGCTTATGATACGTCCAGAAATATCGCAGTGCAGTACTCCCTTTGTTCGAATGTATTTCGGATTTCTGAAGTTATGCGGTTGACTTGCTCGATGGTTCCATGTTTTTCTCGAAAGCCGAATTGATGAGTCGGGATTTTGTTGTGTGTTCTGAGTTATGGGGTAATATGTGCAAAAAGCATTTTTTGAAGAGTTTTGATAGACACGTTAACTAATTGGTCTATATGATAAAGCAATTGTGCGGCCTTTGCCAGGTTTTGGTATCATTATGATGATCGACTTTTACCATCTCTCTGGGAAGTGTCCATGTCTCGTTATTGCATTGAAGAGTTGGCAAATAGGTCGAACTGCACAGAAAGGAAGTTCAATAATCATTACACCCGTTACTCGTAGAGTAAAAGGGTATATTGTATTCGTGCAAAAGTATGTAACAAATAGAAGGAAGCGTTTCCGACCCTATAAAGTATATATATTCTTGTTCAGGATCACTAGCCGAGTCGATCTAGCCATGTCCGTCTGTCCGTCTGTCTGTCCGTATGAACGCTGAGATCTCGGAAACTATAAATGCTAGAAGATTGGCATTTTGCATGTAGATTTTAGGAGTTCCTATACAGCGCAAGTTTGTTTCAAAATGGTGCCACGCCCCCTCTGACGCCCACAAGCCACAAGCTGTGGCCACAGTTTTGATGCTATTATGAAAATTTTAATTGATATATATTTGTTTCGTCAATACTTATCGATTTGCCTAATAAAAGTTGGCCACGCCCACTCTAACGCTCAAAAACCTATTAAACGCTTAAGCCTGGCTAGCGCCTACATTTCGGCCTTTCATGGTCTTTGGAACAGCTGGCCAAGGTACTCAACAGAGTCAACGTTAATTCTCGATAAGGATTTCTATTAAAGGAAATCGCGATGGTTTTCATTTGTCAATACCGAACTATATTCCAAGAACTATGCAAATCAAACCAAGTTAGCCAAATTGGAGGTCTGAGTCAAACAATGGCGTATGTGTGTATGTATGTAAGCATATACATATGTATGTATTTACATTGTACATAGTTCCAATTGCCCGGCAAAGATAACTCCTTTCAAAGAAAGCTATTCGCTATACCCGTTACTCGTGTTGTGCAAACATTTAGACTTTAATATACATAATACTTTTTAAGAATGTATGTGTTTAGCCAATATAAGTATGTATGTTTAATATTTCTAGTCAATTTATTGCTGATGCTCGTGCTGTAAAGCAGCCAGATCT